GTCTAGCAATATCTTGAAAGAGATGCACTGAGATTGGAGTGATAAAGAGACACCATAAGCACGCTAATAAAAGCTAAGATATGATTGCCACAGATCTTAAGGCTCCTCCAGCAAATTTTCATGGTTATAAGAACAGGAATAATTCTACCCTATGAAACAAATACATTTATTGAATATGGAAATAAACACTGTCATATTTATGTCTCCTCTCATGTCAATTTTATCAGATGTATCAACTGAAGAAAGATTAAATGTTGTATTTTAAGTTATTTTTGTACTAGTTTAGAGGTTTTAAAAATTTCAAACATATGGACACTTTATGTGAAAGCATACAGAGCAATTTGCATTACTCATCAAAATGAGGTGGGATACCAATGAATTCTGCAGATACTATGAAATGTAAGATAAAACAGGGAAAGGAAAAAATGTCAGCATGCTGATAATAATACGGAACTGGGGAAACCATGTCAGAGGTCTTGTGGTGCTGAAATTTTTGAGGGAGAAAAAGCCATTGCACTCCATAGACAGTTTTTAACTGAGAAGGTGGGCAGACTTTTTAGAGGTAAATGGCAGGAAGAGTCTTTAATGAACACATTAACTTATATATTTTCCTTTATTTTCTGAAGCCGTGTGAGTTTGGGGAGGTAAAAAAGACCCACAGCCTATTTAAGTGCTTGCTGGGATCCCCAGGAATATTATTGTAACCTGCTGTTACAAACATTAAGATGGCAAAATTCAAAAACAGCTGCCAAGATGTAGATGGTAACAGTTGTGGGATACCAGCATTTCTTTTGAAATGTGTGTCTATGATAACACAGAGATCTACTGACATCTGGATGTCTGAATGCAATCAAAAAACAAAGCAGGTATTGTTTAGGAAATGAAGGGGACAGTCATCAGTCATCATGACTGCTGCCAAGCAATAAGATGCTTAGGGCAACACTTGATCAGGTAAGTTACACTTTTTGTGCATGGCAAGCCCACATTTCCAGAGGTTGGAGTCACTCTGTGAGATGTTTGTTCTGTATCTCGATAGTGTTTATTTATCTGTTAATCACATTCCTTTCCTTACAGCAGAGATCTGGGGATTTACTGCTGGTTCCAACTTTTCTGCTGAAAAGGCGCCGTGTTTCTAAAATGAAAGTGTCTGTTTATGAAGAAAACTATTTACAGACATTCTCTAACTGCAGATAGCCTATTGCAGAAACTAACTTCCTGTGTCTCTCTGCAGTTACTTAGAGTATTTCTCTGCCCAGCTGCTACAGAAGTCACTTCTAGCTTGATTCTGTTTATACTTCATGTAAGTCTGTTGTCCTTTCTCCTTTGATAAAGCTGCTCAGACACACAGCAGGGGAGAAAGACCTTAAAATCTCCCCAGATTTAAGGCACTCAACAAAACACTTCTCTATTTTCTTGGTACTTCACCATACAACAACAGCAGTTAAGATTGTGGAACATACTAGGAAAAGCTCCAAAGGTCAATTAGACTGAGTAGCTCTCAGCAGGACAATGAGAACTTTTCTTTCTGCAAATTGGGGCATGCCAGAGCCAGGTCATGTGGGAAGTGGTGCAGAAACTGGGGAAAGAAACCATCAGTGTCTCTGTGCTGAAAATGTCTGCAGAAGAAAAGGACTGACTGCAAGACATCATCATGAGCTAAGACAGTCAAGAAAGGAGTTGAGGTATTTATTTATGCTAAAAGCTAGAAAGGTATTCTGTCTGACAGCTCTGAACTTCATGTTTTATAATTACAGAGGCTTGAGAGTCTCCTCATTTGATAACATATTACAGCTGTTTCAGACTTTATTCCTTAATTCCTTTCCTAAATACTAGAAAACTTGCAGCTAAGTAAGGAAAGACCAGAAGTTCAATGGCAGTCCAGATTTCAGTTATGCAGGGTTGGGTTTTTTTTGTCAAATAAAAGGAAAGCTTTAAAAAAGATATTTCAACTGAGCATTATGCTCCACTCTATTATGCACTCCATAATTTCACTTTATAGTTTCAAGAAGAAAACACTTACTTGCAAAACTTAATCCAGAATTAAAGTAATCCCAGTATATAAAAATGAATAGTATGACTGAAATTTTGCTTTCAATAACTCCTTTTGAGACTATGAACTGTGGCATAAATGAGGAAAGTACATTTATTCCTGTAAAATATTCCTGGTTGTTTTGAGTTTTTTTTTCAGGATGTATTTAATTACTAAGGACAATAACCAAGGCTTATATCCTAATCATTCTTGTGAGAGTTATTTTATATTAGAATTTTCATTTGGGGCACATAAAAGAACTGTGAGTTTAGGTACATCTAAAAATTTTATCAATAAACTGATTATTTTAATGGACTTTCCAGGTCATAGTATCTTAAATTAGCTTTTTTAGAGGAATATTTCAGGTCATTAAAAAATATTTTGTTACTTTTTTTTTTCCCCAGAAAATGTACACTAGCGTGTATTTGCTAATGTATTTATGACAATTCACGGCAGAGAATTGTGCTCTTTACTAATGTAGCTGTGAGTTAAAAGAGTAGACTAGGCTGCAGCCTGAGAAATTAAAAAAAAACAGCAACAGGGAATTGCCCCAAGTGGACAAGAAGGTCTTCTGCTAGTCAGCTCCAACAGCAGCCACCTTTGAGAGAGATAGTTGATGGAAAAAATGAGACCAGAGGTGAGAAAATATGTCAGAAATTGAATTAATAATTATGTGGTTTTGAAGCAAAATGGATGAACTGTTACAAGCACCTAGAGAGATTTGTGGAAGGGCAAGACAAAAGTTCATCTTTACCTGATCGTGAGAGATCACTTGGGGGGTTGGACATGGTGTCCTCCAGAGGTCTCTTCCAGCCTCAGCCATCCTGTGATTCTGTGACCTCTCAAAAGGGCTAAGTGATAGATGATAAGCTTATGCCTCAGGTTCCCCTGACTGTGGAATTGCCACTTCCAAGATGGTAGCAGGCTGAATTCCCTACTGAATCCCCTCTGGCAGCACCCCAGCAGGCAGGGTGGAGAAGGCCGAGCTCCAAGATGGTTCTGGCAGGCCTTAACTGGGAGTGTGAGATGGACCAGAGCGGAGCCAAGGGGCTGTCTTCCTTAGGGTGTTCTGCCTCAAACAGTGGAAAATCAAGATAAGGGAGAACAGGGCAATCACATACCATGACTTCTTCTTAGAACTCCTCCAGCCTTTGACAGTTTTAGTCCTCGGGGTCTTCCTGGGCCTGTGGTGGTTTGCCTGTTTAGTAGCCTACAGTGGATTTATCTTCCATGTTATTTTCCAGTTTCTCTGGAGCAGTGCACTATGTGCATCCACAACATTCTTGGCAAAGTGTTTTTTAATTATACTGTGTGTTGTAAGAGATGCAAACTTTATCTGGTTATAAGCCTGGATCTCATTAGCTCAATATGTTGTTCATCAATTATTGGGCAAAGGCAACGTAAGTCATCCAAATCAGCTTTTGCATTTCATTGAGGATTTTGTAAGCCTGTTTCCTACCTACCTTATATTGTCATCTTTTCTGAGATGAACAGTCCTAAACTGTTTAACTTCTAAGATTTTAAATTAGTTTCTTAGAGCATACCATATGCTCTTACCTTGACCTTTTCTAGTCCTTGTTGATCCTATCTCTGACTGAGGCCAGAAGTGCAGAGAGTAAACTAGGTATGGGTGAACTATGGATTTCTATGATGCTGAGCTAATGAATGGAATTACAGATTGTGATTCACTGTAGTCGCTGACAAGCAACATCATTTTATACACAAAGCTGGGCATAGATTTCCCTGTGTGTATTATTTCACATTTACCAACACTGAATTTCACACACAAGCGTTTGTGCTATCCCTCCCATCTTTGGGGATCATATACCTTAGCCATCGCCTTAGAGAAATAACACCCCAACTGGTATCAATGTAGACCTCATGTTATTTTTAACACTTTGAACTGGAAAAAATGACAAAAAGTGATGAGTTTGCTTCAGGATAATTTCTGACCCTCTCATATATCACCGTATATGTAGTCAAAAAGACAATGAACCCAAAATGTGACATAGTCAGTCTAGGGAACATTTATGAAAGCACAGCATCCTGAGCTGGTTGAGCGAGGTGATTGTCCTGCTTTTCTCTGTGCTGGTGTCCTTCGTGCCACAATATGAGACACGAAGTCTTAGAGAACATCCAAAGGAGCGCTACAAAGATAGTGAGGTGTGTAGAAGGGAAGCTGTATGAGGAGCAGCTGAGGGCACTTGGTCTGTTCAGCCTGGAGAAGAGGAGACTGAGGGGAGACTTCATTGCAGTTGCAACTTCCTTGTGAGGGGAAGAAAAGGGGCAGACATGGTTCTCTTCTCTTTGAAGACAGAGAACCTCAGGAAGAGGACACAAGGGATTGGCCTGAAGTTGTGTCAGGGGAGGTTTAGGTTGGATATTAGGAAAATATTTACTCTGAGGGTGGCTGGGCACTGGAACAGGCTCCCTGGGGAAATGGTCACAGCACCAGCCTGACAGAGTTCAAGAAGAGTTTGGACAATACTCCAGTACGCATGGTGTGACCCTTGGGGATGGTGCAGTGCAGGGCCAGGAGTTGGAAACGATGATCCTTGTGGGTCTCTTCCAACTTGATATATTCTATGATTGTATGATTCCATGACTACTGACTCTGACTGCCCATTCCCAGTTTCCTCCAATGCCTTGCTCCAGGCTGGAGGTGGGAATGGCTCTGACTGCGAGGTTCATTCAGAAATGCATAGAAATTAAAAATATATATGTATCGGTGCACCTCTTGGGCAAGGAAAAGGAGGATTCAAGTTAGCCAACACCTCATTAAAGCATTGATACTTTTAAAATTTGTGTGAAGGGTCTGTGGCAATGCCAACTTCTAATATATATCTCAGAAAAAACCAGAAAAAGTCTGCAATAACAATGAGAAACAGATTAATTTTATTTCAGAACTTGGTTTCCCTGCCCTCTTCTATGTTTGGAAGTTCTTTGTGCATGGCAGGTGAAAACACAGGAATGACTCTTTAATCATGTTCTTTTTATTTTTTTTAATTATCATCATATGTACAAAAAAGTTCAGCCACTTTCATAGGTTAAATTTATATACAGTAATTAAAAAACAAAACCAAACATAAACTCCCCTCCCAACTCCAATAACAAACAGAAGCCTTCACATTCTTTTCTTTTCAGTAAAATTTCATTAACTACATAGTAATGCTTACAAGTAAGCAAGTTGCCCAGGGCCCATATTCCCCAAACTGAACGTAATATGGACATGAACTTCTCAATAACCTTACAAATTTCAGTGTACACTTATGTATATATTTATATGTATACATGTCAACTTACACTCATAATCAAGAGGGTAGAAACCATTATTCTTATGATGCTCCATAAGGATATATTTCCAGGATCAAAGAATAGTATGATGGGCCTCTTTTAATAATAATTTATTCTCTTAATTCTCAACATTTTCACACAGTTGTGAGCACCTTTTCTCACCTGAAAAAGGAATAATTCACTATTCTTCAAAATATAGCAGTTGATGTCCAAAGTGCAAGGTTTCTGCCCTTTTGGCTCTATTTTATGTCAGTTATTGTTCAAGCACTTTGCAGCATATTTTAGGAGGGACTATGCACTTAAGGACCATGTTAAAGATAAAATGAAGTCTGCATTAGATGCAGGAGAAATAAAGGCTTTCAATGTAAAAAATATTTCCATGTTAAAGAAAAGAAAAAGGAGAGAGATTTCAGTATAAACTTCAAAAAATTTTCTGCCACAACAAAATACAGAAAACAATTAAACAATTGTGATAGTGAGAAAGCTGGAATCATATGAAAGTGAATAGTGAAGGGTGGCTTCAAGGCAAATTAATTAGAGGGTTTAGGTGAGTTACATATCACTAAGGTTGGCCCTGTACACAGAAAATGTGTAGATCAATTAAAACTAACACTGTGAAATGAAACGAAGCATTGAATGTTCACACTGGCTTGTAAACAGTAGTGCTAGGTCCACTCACATTTATTCTACTCCAAAAACTGACAATACCTTAGCAGAATATAGGACATTCTAATATCTCACAGTGTGTTTTGTAGTTTTCACACCCTCAACTGTGAAGAAATTAATAGTGATTAGTGATGGAAAATTGTTTTTTAATCATGAGATACCAAATGAAAACCAGCAAATTTTAAGGGCCTTTTAAGGTGTTGCTTATTACTTAGGCACAGGAGCTCAGGAATCAGTGCAGCAAGAGATGTCTGAACCAACTGTCCACAATGCTACAGACAGCTTCCTCCTCAGTGTTAGATGGAGTTGCAGCACAGTCAAAGGATATGGTGTAGCTTTGTCTTGCTTGTGTGGGGGACTTGTCTGGTCTTCTCAGGTGGTTTGTGTCTCTCCTCGGTTAATGAGAGTCAAATGTAGGTAAAAAGCTGTAAATACTACAGGAAAAACTTATCTTTTGTCTGTCCCCAGTGCACGTTCTGTAGCAGTTGTCTTTCCAAGCACACAGGCAGTTGTTGAGATGTGAGAAGAATTAAACATGGCTCTATAATGTACTTACAACATGTAAGCTGTAGAAAGATATTTCAGAGGAAGGCTCCAAACACAGGACTGCTCAACCCACCTGCCATAACTTATTTTCAGGATGTTTAGTACAGCTCGCATTCTCAAGCTTTATTTTCCTCTTTCTTTTCTTCTTTCTTCTTGCCTGCCTGAAAGAAGTCCATTTCTGACATCTGGCCATCAGGAAAGGTTTTCAGCTGGTTTCTGCTGGCACAGAATAACTCTCCAGTCTGTGGTTGAATTTTCATTTATCCAGCTGAAAATCTGGCTCATAATCTACACCATCTCTGTAAGGAAGAAAAACTCACTCCCCAGGCACTATTTAAAGCTCAATTCTGGTGAGAGGGATAGTTCTTCTAGGTGTAGCCTACAGTGAATTGGTGAAAATGGCCAGTTCATACTAACCACATACAAGCAGCATTGGTACTGTAATAGGTTAATGTGGGAAAGTCTATTTCCTTAAATAAACTGCTCCCCACAGTCCTGAGAAATTAATAACTTCAAGAAATACAGAAGTATTTGCAAACATTCTTAGCTTTCCTTTCATTGTATGAGATGTTTTACTGTATAAGATTGAAATAAATAATATGAGTCAACTTAATCTTTTCAAGTGTCAATGTGGTTTGACTCTGATAAGCAGTTGGGTGAGTGTTGTGGTGATTTCACAGTGGCTGTGCATTATGTATTAATGGTAAAATGCCATGCTACATTTATTCTTTCTTTTATAAAAATACAAGAGAGAAAGAAATATAATAAAAAAAACAAAAGACAAAAATGAAAACAAAGCTTAGCACATTGCTCAGAAGAACAATTCCCTTACTCCCAAATCAGCTTTTGTGTGTGCTCTAATTCATGTACAGTAGTTTTTCACATTCACTGAGAATCACAAGTCTTTGGTTAACTATCATACAACCTGAGAGGAACTGTTCTAAACCTGTCCTTCGGTCTTATGCAGCAAGGCTATTTCCAGGCTAACCCTGTTTGATTTGCTTCAGTGCCTTCTTGAATAAATTCAGTTCCTTTAGCACTTCCATTTCTGACCAGAAAATTCTGACATGCAGTTTAAGTGCAGCTTGAGTTCTGTCACTGGTGTTTTGAGCATGGCCATTCATAAGGAAATGTTTTCTGTGTCTGCTCATGAGCTTCACAAGCGTCTTTCTTCTCGGAATATTTAAAGCTAGAAAACACTTTCCTGCCTTTGCAAATTGACCTTTACTCCCTCTAACCCATCCATAGGTCCACTTGACATCGATCTGGCTGACATGGTTCTGCCAGAGAATAAACTTTCCCTTCTGTTTTCCAAACTGTCGCTGAGCAGTACCTTAGGGCGAAACATTTGCATGAATTTCTGGTAAAATTCTTTCGATGCAAAGTAATAAATGAAGGGATCTATGCAATTGTTGAAGCAACTGAGGCACAAGGTGAGCTTGTAGGCAGGGTACAAACTGCTGCTGTAAAATAGGCGGCTGATCATGTGTGCAAGTAGGATAAAATTATTGGGGGCAAAGCAAGTGATGAAGGACAGAAGGACAATTGTCGCCAGGTATATGGATCTAGTCTTTTGCCTATTACCATATCTGCTTGATGTCTGAATTAGCTTCCTAATGATACCAATGTAGCATCCAACTGTTACAACAAAAGGGATCAGGAACAGCACAACAAATAAAGTGAGGAGAAAGGCTACCCAAGCTGCAAAGGTGGGCAGCATATCCCATTTTAGGACATCAAAACAGGTTATAATCCCTAATTCTTTCACTTCATAGGTCAGGTCTGTAGTTTCTAGTGGGTAGAAGGCTAGTAGCAAGGAAAGCCACATGGCTACGCAGGCAGCCAAGGCATATCTTTTTCTTCTCCACTTGATCAACTTCAAGGGGTGTACCACACCCATGTACCGCTCCATGCTGATAAAGGTCATGGTCAGTATAGAAGAATACATGTTGGAGTAGAACATCACTGTCACAAGGCTGCAAAGGGTCTTGCCAAATCTCCAGTGATTGCTTTGGAGGTGATAAGAAATCTGGAAGGGGAAACAGCTGGCCAGCATGAGGTCCGTGATGCTTAAGTTGATCATGAAGATAACAGAAGGTGTTTTGGGTTTGATGTGCCAACAGAGCACCCAAAGGGAGAACAAGTTGCCAGGAATGCTGACCAGAGCCACCACTGTGTACACAACTGGGAGGGTGATGGAGATGGTTTTATTCTGGAGCATTGCCAGTGTCAAAGCGTCCAGGTGGGATTCGTTTTTGACCATTATTCACAAGTGGGTAGTTGATCCCTGTAAGCCAGCTGGATCATATCATGAACACTTGGCTTGAAAACCTAGAGGAGAAATGTCAAGTGAGAAAATCAATATGTTGAAACAGAAATTAAGGACATAAATCGTATATTAATCAACTAAAAAAATTCTTTAGTTTGGCAGATTTTCCTTGAATGCACTGAATCCATTAAAATTACTTTCTGAAAAGCCTTACCTCCCTCCAAATCATCATGTTTTAGCAGTCTGACTTCTTCCCTACTTAGAACAGCAGCCTTTTCCCTGCTGAATGGTTTTCTGATACTTAGAATCATAGAATCATTAAGCTTGGAAAAGACCTTCAAGGTCATGGAACCTTTGAGCAAACACCACCATGCCAATTAAATCATAGCACTGATTGTTGTTAACCAGCACCCCTGGGTTCTTTTCCACTGGGAAGCTTCCCAGCCACTCTGCCCCAAGCCTGTAGTGCAGCATGGGGTTCTTGTGACCCAGGTGCAGGACTTGGCATTTCACCTTATTGAACCTCACACCATTGACCTTGACCCATTGATCCCAACTGTCCAGACTGATCCGTAGTCTATTCTTTATCACAAATCTTATGTTACTGTAACATAAAGAAAATCACATATCACAAGTTGAAGTTCAATTGATGTCTGGGTGAGAACATTAGTGCATAGATTCTTCATGAGCTAAATCCATTGTATCTACTCTAGATACATGACCTTAATTTCTGTAGTGCACAATATCTTCTGACTTCCAACCCCCACCACACCCTGCAACTAGACTGTGATCCACTTCAAGTAAGGGCTGGATTTCAATTTTTTTTTCCTTTTTTTTTTTTTTTCAGCTTAGGGAAAGGAGAGCATGCATTCAATGACTCTTGCTGTTTTTATAGTATAAACAAAATATAAGGAAAGAAACATGAGAACCAGAGACAGATTGCAACTGCTTTGACAGGTTTAGAGGCTGAAGAAGCCCTCTTCTAGTGAGAAGAAAAAAACAAAAAAACTATTTAGCTTCAGTTTCTGCAAAATGTAAGTTATTTAAAAATGTTCTGTTTGCAGATGTCTTATTTGCATCATCTGTAATTCTGCAAAATTAGTTTCAGTTTTGCAGTCTGCAAAGCAGACCCATGCTTTCACTGTCTGGTTTACATAGATATTTCTTGGCAGATGCAGTAGCTCATGCTTTAGCCCATTTATTTTAAGCAGCGTAGTAGCATTCAGCAGCTGCAGGAAAGAACCCACACCACAGTGTGTATGCTTGCTTTCGTTAAGCTGCAAGTACAGGGAGGCAATTTCACAAAAGTACAGCATTGAAAAAGCGAAGAAATGCCAAAAAATGCCCAGAAAGGCAGAGGATAGATCTACAGTAAGCTCTGTGAAGAGTTACTTTAAGGGCTGAAGAGGTGCCAGGCCAACTCAGCCAGTAACTGTGGGCACACCTCTACTGTTTAATAACAGGCAGAGAGTGGGTTCAGGCATACTCCTGCTTGTTGACTCATCACCTGCATGGTTTATTCCAAGCATCTTGTTGCAAGACAGCCCTGATGCAGGAGGTTAGAGTAAAAAAACATAGGTGCCAGTTGGTGTCACTTAACCTCGTATCTTGTTAAAAAAAGTACTTTAATTTGTGTGGTCATAGGCCATGAGCAGTGTAACCAGTCAGTCCCTCAAAGAGCCCAGCCAATGGTGCTGGGAAACTCTATAGCTGGAAATAACCATTCTGACAAAAACTGTGCTTTCTGAGAGAGGCTTTTACTAAAAATCTTGCTTTATTAACCATTGATGATTCCTGAGACCTGGCAAATGTGAAGTCTCTACTGGAGGCTGCAGTGCAGTAAAGAGATAATCAACTCACAAAAACCTGAGTGCAACTCCAGAAAAAGGTACAGCTACTGCAGCAAGCAGCTCAGTGGGGGCTTATTGAGGTTCTTTCTTGACATGATCTATTTGACATAGTGCTTCAAATGTCAGGTAAAAATATTCAGAAGTGGTGAGAGTCAGTATCAAGAAAGTTATATTGATTAATGTTGCTTCCAGCTGAGTCGTTGGGATCCTAGATAAAGGAAAAATAAAATAGGAATTGCAAAGAAGTCAGAGATGTACATATATCATGTACACGACACAAAGCAAGCATGTTTCAAGTAGTGAAGTAATCATCAGAAGGGCACAATTGCAAAAAGCCCTTTGAGCCAAATCCGTTGCAGATGAAATTCAGTTCTTTTCAGGGGAATTCTATCAAGAATGAAATGAATTCTTCATTTTTCAGGCTAACTTGAAAGAGCACTCACTGTCACATCACTCTTGGAAAAAAAGCCTTAGTGCTCTCTATTTCAACCTCTGTCTGTGACTTACCATAGCAAATATTTATTCATGAAGTCTGTTGCCTCAAAAATCCTGCTCAAGTAGCATCCCTTTGTGCCTAACAACCCTGTACTTCTCAAAACAAACAAAAAATTGTCTATATCAGAGTTATCACAGAGCTCTAATAATATACCTTTGAAATTGAAAGATATTTGCTATCAGAGACCCCTAGATGCCATTCCTATAGAAATTACAGGTACTTTGAAAGAAGAGAATATTGGTGAAAATTTCCATTAAATCTGTCACACTGGTCATAGAGCTATCTAATATGTCTCACATTTTGGTTTGTGTTAATCTCAAACGTATTTTCTTCTGTACTTGCTTTTCTGACAGAAAATCTTGTTAAGAAGGAGATAAAAAATGCATGCATAGATGCTGCCAAATGCAAAACAGTGTCAGCATTCACAGCCTGACTAAAGATAAATTGTATACACTCATGGAATGCTACTGTCTGTAAAACATAAGTGCCTCCAAATGTGGGCACCTCTTGAATTGGAGTTGAAAGACACCAGACTTACTGATTATGTGCCTACAAGAGGTTTCCAAAAAGGGTAGGTCTCCTTGACATTGTTTTCAGTAATGAAGATATCCATCACAACAAGCAGCAGAATTATGGATAGTTCTTTTAGAGTCTTCTGCAGGGGAGAAGGGGGCATGCAAAGCACACAAAACGATGTTGCATGTCATTCTTGAGGGCAAATAGCCTCTTGAGGAAATGTGGAGTACAGAAAATCCTCCTCCCAGTTTCTTCTTTCCTTTTGCCAGGTTCTCTCAATGCTCTAATCCTGAATTCCTTGTCAGGAGAGCCTGGACTAGAAGACATCCCTGCTTTTATTCACCCTTACTTGTAATGATTTGTTTTTTAAATGTCCAGGTGTGTGTGATTTGGCTGGGATAGAGTTATTTTCTTCACAGTAGCTGGTATGAGACTATTTTTTGGAACTGTGCTGAACACAAAGTTGACAATGGAGAGATATTTTTGTTATTGCTGAGCAGGGCTTACACAGAGCCACCACACTGCTTTTTTGTAGTGCCATGCTGGCAAGGAAGTTGGGAGTATGCAAGAGGCTGGGAGGAGACACAGACAGACAGGTGGCCCAAACTGAGCAAAAGGATATTCCATACTATACAACATCATTACCTGTATATATGGTAGAGGGAAGAAGGAGGAAGTGGGGACATTTGGAGTGATGGTGCTTGTCTTCCCAAGAAACCCTTTCATGTGATGGGGCCCTGCTTTCCTGGAGATGGCTGAACACCTGTCAGCCCATGGGAAACAGCAAATTAATTCCTTGTTTTGTTTTGCTTATGTGCATGTCTTTTACTGTCCTTATTTGTCTCTCAACCCACAATTTTTCTACCTTTTACCCTTTCAAATCTCTCCCCAGTCCTGCCTAGTGGGGGAGGTGAGCAAGCAACTGTGTGGGGCTTGGCTGATGGGTAGGGTGAAACCATGACAGCAGGTTAAGCTGCTGGAACCACAATGTGCTTTACTGCTCCCATTTCTGCGTCTGTTGGGGTTTAATTAATGCTGTGTTTACATTTCCTTCTCTTCAGGGTAACTATGTCCTTCACCCACTGCACCCGCAGTCTCTGTCTGTCTCTTGTGGTTTAATTTGAAAATGTAATATATCAAGAGAGAAAATAATCTCTCTTTAGAGGTTTAGAATTAGACTCCTCTTACATTTTATGAGTTTATTCCATTTCAGCTTTCCAACAGAATTCAAATCAGTGAAGCTTGCATGGATTTTAAAACATTCACCCTAAGCTATGGTTTGATATGAATAATTAAAAAATATAGTTTTGTTACATAAATGTCCCTGTTATAAATGCATAGTTTTGTTTTAATTTTGGGAGACTAATATTTAAAATATGACAGAAAATGGACATACGTACAGGCTGAAACAAAAACTCAATAAGGATTCTTCAAGTGACATGATCCAGTCTTATTGACATTTACATCAGTTCTCAAGCCTGTGACAGAGAAGGAGAAATGTTAAGCTTTTCTGCTTGCCTGATTTCTGAAACATTTAGTAGATGGATGTATATTAGTCTTATATTAAGTACTAAGCCTCTGGAGTAATACTAAATCCATGTAGGATTATTTTGCTACTCTTTGTACTCACTGGCTCAGAACAGAAAACTCACTTGGAAATTCAGTGGCATCAGGTTTTCATCCGAGCTGCAACCACAAGCTAAGGTGACAGCTGCTTAATGCTTTTCTGACAGGAATAGGGATTTCTTTCCCTTCAATTGACAAAAGATGATAAATAAAACATTGAAGGGTGTACTGAAAATCAAATAGTAAAAAAAATCACAAGACATCTGTGTTATTTCTTTGCTGTGGAAGAGTAACAGTAGAGATGTTTCTATTTTTAGAGAACTGCTAAATTAAGCTGATTTCTCTTTTACATCTATTATCTTCCTGTTGTCAGTGTCAAGCGCACCTGTGAAAAAGACTGAAAAGCCCATGAGTGAAGTCAAAACAAGAATTGCCAGTTTATAAAAAATTTGAGATTTGCTTTTTGATTTGAGATGGAAAAATAACTCTTAAAACATATCAAGCATAAATCCTTTCCAAACCTATTGTGTTTCATAATTTTTGGTTCATTACCTGTCAAAGCACTATTGCATAGGAAAAAATGTTCTTATTTCATAAATTCTTTGATATTATTACACTTTCAGAAAGACACCCT